AATTTGAGGCAGTGCGCTAAATCTGCAAAAACCCATATTTCTTTCGTTTGCAATACTGGATTTGGAAACTGAGAACTATTAATCGAAATTTGTAACTCTTTCCACAAAGTACTAGATCCTCCTAAATCAGACACTATTGCTTTCACTTCTACTCCAGATGATTGAATATTTCTTATGAGTGAAAAAAGAAGTTCTTTCTTCATTGGAGTGTTAAAATAAAAAAAAATATTGGCTGTTTCCACTGCGAAATAAAACCTCTGATTAAAACAAACTGCACTTTTTGAAAAGGACCGAGAATTTGGTCCAATTTAGAATCATAGCAGAGTTTAGAATCTATGTGCATTTCATCGAAACTGAGAACGCATATTTTTTCTACAGATTTTTCAAATATTCGCATCTTTCCTTCATTAGAGCAAGAACATCACTCTGAATTCCTGGACTACATGAAAATTTAGCGCACCATCTCTTTAATGTGCAAGTACTAGGTAAAGGAATTCCCATTTTTTCTTTCCAAAAATCGTAGCTTTTAGATGACAGAGCTCTTATGACAATGCAGCGTGAAATATTTTCACTACTCCACCTGATTTTTTTCCTTCTTTTCTAGCAATGCGTTAATCTGCGTCTTTGTAAAAATATGCCTTAGACGTTTTTCCAAATTCTCCGATCTGTGCTGTTTTTTCCTAAATTTCGCTGTTTGAGATTTTAATTTCTGAATTTCCGATACAAATTTCTTTCTAGATATCGTCCACCTTCTTTGTCGCTGAGCAAACATTCAAAAATTTTTCTTTTCTCTATTTTTCAATATTTTATTACAATTTTCTAAGTATATTATTTTGTTCTTAAAATTGTCAATACATTCTTGTTTATCTTTTACACTTAGGGCATTCAGGGATATTGTCACATAGGGCATTGTCCACTTGTAAGTTTTATTCCAAAATTCATTCACATTTGATTTATTATTGTCATCTTCAATTTCGTTTCTCGGCCTTCAAAATAATATTTTCTTTGGGATTAATTGGGCTTTCTTTGTGCTAGTCTTTCAAAAGCACTCTGCATTAGTTTTCTTTTCAAATGTCTCCGATTTCTTGGTATTATTTCCTTTACTGCACACGATAAATTTACTTTCGGCACAGTAGTGCATTTCAACAGTTTCTTTTGCGGCAATCCAAGCAAGCAATTTCTCATGTCATCTTCATAATCCCGGTATAGAAAATGTTCGCTGCAAATTCCTGCGTTTTTCACATTAATAAAATCCTGTCTTCGACATTTATGTATCCATTCTTTCGTGAAAAGCAAAATTGTCCTTTGGGAAGCATGAAATACAATATATTTTCCTTTCGTATTTCTATAAGTGTTACGGCACGTTGCTACAGCACAAGAAGCCCTATTACATAAAGGATACTTTAAATATAAAATTTAAAAGGAAAACTGACTAACACTATATATATATATATATACATAAATTATTTTAAATATTTGTATTTTTAGAAAACAAATATGTATGATTAAAATTAATTTGGGATATGCGACCTCCAGAAAATCGTCTCGCAGCTGAATGAAACTACAGAAACGAGAACCAGAGCAGGTGCAACAGAGACACGTCAGATTACTTCCAGTTCACCCCCTCCATGAAGCTCGCGTCGGCGAGGAGTCGAACAAAGGAATGACCTAGCCCTTCTATTTATCCCTGCCATCACACGGCATATGTGTCGCATATTACAGATCCATGCATACTCGGAGTGGACTTTTTAAGGAAATACAATTTTTCCTTTGACTTCAAAAACAGCAGACTGCTTTCAGCATCTGAGGACATGACTATCCATCACCAGAAGGGATCCTCACCTGGAAAAGCCGAAGCCCTGTCTAGAAGACCTTGCTCAGAAAGCTCCCGAAATTATACTAGGGTCGAAGAGAATCACAAGACTACCTGCTGTTTTCCATGCCAGATGCTCATCGGTCGTGACCTTCGTCTGCTTTGTAATCTCTTATTTGGTCGCCCTCCAGATTCGCCTTCATCGCCTAAAAAATACATGCAGGCCCAATTTGAAGTGATGCACAGTTTTACACTAGAGCGAGTCAATTTGACGACGGAAAAAGTGAAGACCCGACACGACACGAGAGCTACTGTACTTCGATTTAACGAAGGAGACAAGGTATGGTTGTCGAATCAGACTCGACGGAAAGAACTCTGTCCTAAACCACAGACTCCTTGGAATGGTCCGTACACAGTCCTAAACAGGCTGAACGACGACGTGGTTCGGATCCGTAAGTCACCAAACTCTAAGCCTAAAGTCGATCATTACGACATTATGAGATTAGCTCCTTACTATGGCCATAATACATAGTGTATATAGTATAAGAGCATGGTTCTTTTTGTTTCTAAATTTGTATTTGATTTGACTTTTATTTAGTATTTGATAGTATATGATTTGTTTTAAGTTACATATTGCAATTATTGTTTATGCTGTTTGTTACTGTAATTTAATGCTTATTATTGTATTGATGTCTTAGTTGTAAGTTTGGCTTCCTGTCGAGGGATTGTACTATCCGGGATGTGCAGTCCTTGGGAAGGGAGCAGTGTTACGGTTTTTGTATTTGTTTTGCTATTTTTAGCAGAATTGTTATTTAATTGTTCATTTTCCCGTGCAATGCTGCGCGTGACAAGTTTTAAGAGAAAGCTACGGCGAAAAAGTAAAAATACAAGAATGTTCTCTTGCATGATTAAAAAGCCGGATAAAAACATCTCAGTTCAGTTCATTACTTAGTTCTTGTTGTTGAATGTAGCGAATTCGCAGTAAGATCGGATTAGCTTTCTCTGCCTTGAATTGTGTTTTATTGACGTTTTAGTAGTTTAAAATATAACTATTGTAAGATATTGTGATATTGTATGAATATCTCGGAGGAAATTTCAGCATTTTTTTTTTTATTTCTTGGGATAAGAATAAATTTTATTAACTTTTTATCCGACTTGTGCATTCAATCCATTACGAACCCGTACAATATCTTACCAAAGTACACTGCGCAAAAAAATCAAAACAGTTCCACTCAATTGTCAATCGACCCAGTAGAACAGGAGATATAGCACTGTCATATTTTATTTTAGCAGTGTACTTTTACGATACACTTTATTGTTAACAAAATTAGTTATATAATTAGAAAATTATACTAATAATAAAAAATATCAAGGCTTTCGGATTTTACATTACACCCAAAGGGCCGTTTCTTTAACGTTTTCTGTGTCACCTTTACTTATTAAATATCATGTTCTTCGCACTTAAACCATAAAATTCAATTTAACAGCAATATCGCAAAAATAATTTTAAAAGGAGCATATCTTTAGAATTTCCGATATATAGTCTCGTGCGCTGGAGATAATTTTTTTTTCGCACAGTGTTGCCATTGCTCGCTCTGAAATCGTTGAGTTTCTTAATCAAAAACTCATAAATGCTTTACAAACTATGAAATAGATAATAAAACAAACTCCAAATTTGGGCTTCCAGATGCCCCTATTCGGAGGAGAATTACATTATTCAAAATTCGATGACTCTAGGTACCGTTGTTATATCACAATGCGAGAAACATACATACATTTATGCAATTCCTCATTATTTAATTTCTTTAAATGTAACATAAGGCGATAATATTTCGTGGCAACAATCTGAAAAGTGAATCAACGTACAAAATGAATTCAGGCAAAATGCCAAAACGAAATTAATAGCCCTTCTGAGCTAAAGCTTTTCTGGGCTAAAAAATCCGAAGTATGAGTTAATGGAGAGGGGTCATTGCATTATTTTTAATGGCAGCATTTATCTAAATGTGGTGAAGACTTTTTCCATTTTCCCAAACACAGGGTACAGAAAATTCGACCACATAATCTTTCTGTAAGATGAAAACGCTCCTGCATTTCTTCATTGACTGAGATTGATCAAGATGTTTCAGTACCACAGATTGAAGGAATTGGATATAATCCTTGGACTTTGAAAGCACCATATACTATCTTACTTCAATAGGTTCATTATAAAGGGGTGGATCATATTAAACACCTGGTAGTATCAAGAGTTATTTTCGGAAGTTCTTACTCAAATAGGAGTTGACAGTGCATTTCGTTCCTTCATACTATTTGATAAAACCATCTCAGAAAGGAATGCTTACAAACTCTACCGTTATTTTACCGACATTAAATATTATTTATTACACATACAGACACCTAGAATTTTCCTTGGCTAAACTTTCTGGGTAGCTAAATTAAGGAGTTTTTCTTTCTAAGTAAAGCAAAATATCAACTTAGACCATGTTTACAGGTACATACAAAGATGTTCAAAAGAGCTAGTTATCGCTTTTATTTCAATTTAATCAATTCTGAATCTAGAGTTACACTTATATGTTGGATAGCAAATGAATATTTTATGATTTATGCTACAATTATTTAAAAATAAAAGGCTCTATTACTGAGTTACTGAATTAAAATATATTGAGACATTCCAGATCAAATTTAATAACACATATATTTCTCAAAATCCATTACCAGCTTAAATTCAGAAGTTTCTAAAACAATTCAGATAGAGAAAGAACATGGTGTGAGTTTTTATAATTAATAATATCATTCCGCGTGAAAGAATGTTACACAATAAATTTGCAGATGGTGTCTTTCTGCTTTTAGGAATTGTAATTATTTCAAACAGCTGAAAATAAAAATATGGGCATTCTATGTCTTATGAGCTAAATCATAATAAATAACGTATTTTAAAATTTTTCTATAAAGATTTTATTTTTACAAAATGCTCCCTCTCCTTAGCGTTCAGGACATTTTTAATACAAAATTCTATATTTTTAAAATTTTATCATTGAAAATGTACGTCTGAAACAGTATATAATCACCTGTTTGGAATACCTCTCAATTTAATATTCATGCGTGCTATATTCCCCTTCTGAAATCTCTTCATGACCCTTTTAATAGATATTTCCATATGATGAAAAATATTTTTCATTTTGTTTTTCAGGACGAAGGCGCTTAGCTTTCAGGACGCTTAGCTCTCTCTCCTCATTTTCGCTGTATTTTCAACTTACCAAACGCTGTTACAAAGATTTAGATCACTATGATGATGTTTTAGAAGCCAAAAGTTTAGATGATGATGATGATTTAGATTTAGAACATGATGATCATTTAGATGATGATGATAATTCCGATAAATATCATTTATATGATGATGATTCATATGGTGATGATTGCGATAATGATGAAGATTTAGATTATAATAATCATGGATTAATTGACTATGACGATATAGCTATTTTAGATGATAATGAGGATAAAATTTAGATTTAGATGATGGTTTAAATCATTTAGGTGATAATGATGGTTCAAATGAGGATTTAGAGGCGGAGGATGATATAGATGATGACAATTTTGTTAATGATGTTGTTTTTGATGTTGATGATAGATCAGGAGTTCCCAAACTTTTTGTGCCTATGAGCATTTCTAGAATATCTGGTTAGATGCAATTTCTATTTCATTAAAAATGAGAAAACTTTCACGTATAATTTTATTGAAAACTAAAAAATTTTTATTGTGATCGCACAGCGGCGGGCACAACGTTAAACGATCGGCCGGCGCCATGGTGCCCGCGGGCATAGGGTTGGGAATCCCTGATTTAGATGATGATTGATTTAGATGATGATGATTTAGTTATTACTTGGATGACGATGATTTATATGATGAGTGGACGACAATGATTATTTTGGTGATTTAGCTCCTGCTGATGATTTAGATAATTTAAATGATGATTTGGTTTATGGTGATTTGGATTGTTAATTTAAAGGATTGTGATATGTGTGATTTAGTTAATGCTTTATATTATTATTACGATGATTTAGACGATGATGGGGATAATGAAATTTAAGTGAAGATGATAACGATTTAGATGAAGGTTTGGTTTAGTTGGTTTAGTTGATGATGAAGACGACTATTTAGATGATGATGATGACGATGATAATTTAGATTTCTATGATGATTTAAATTACTTAGATGATCTGGTCGCATGGTACAGGAGCCAGGACATAAGATTTTATATACCCAAACTCAGACTTAAGCACAGCGATAGCAGTTTTCTACAGCTAGTAGTGGCAATGGAGTAGCGATTTAGATGATGGTTTACGCGACAATTAGATGAGTTAGATAGTGATGATAAGGATTTAGATAATATATACAATGAAACATTAAGCTGCCTATGAGAAAATAGATGGAAGATAAAGCACATATGTCTTCAATGAATATTTAAAGCTATTGAAAATATTTGAGTGATGATGATGAATATTTGAGTATTTATATTTATTGGTGACATTAACTGTTGTTGTTGTTGTTTTTTTTTATGTTGAAAAACTCTGGAAGAATGAAAAACTTGGCTGATTGTAACAAAACTACGTGTAAAATATTTTAATTATTGATTAGCATTTTCTTTTAAATTAATTTGCGAAGTATAACTTTAATCAGAAATTCAGAAAATGCTATGAACTTTGCAATACAAAATATGTGATAAATTTTAAGTTAAATCACGCTCTTTATTTTGGAAAGTTGTAAATCGTTGACTGTAAATGACGTTGAATAAAATAATTTACATATCGTTTGATTTTAGTTTTTTGTGTTTAAGTTTTGAATATCTGAAATTTATCTGAAATGCAATCAAGTAGATAGATTAAATTAAGTATTTTAAATTAGATACATGACAAAAGATTTTACATTTCTTGGTATTTACACTTACGCATTTCGTAAGATTATCTTTTTCGATAATTAACACTACTCTAAAACACAGTCTTTTTGATAAAGTACATATAAATGGAATTTATGTAGTAGCCATAACTCGACTTTTTTCAAAACCAAATGTGTGCCATACTTTGAAAAGAGTTTTTTTTTTCACGTAACAATTTTGCAAACTCTGTGATTTAGTATGGTGCTGAACATATGCAGTAAACCGTTTTATCAACTGCTAAATATTATTCTTTTCTTACTACTGAAAGCAAAACAGTGAGACCATTCAAACAGCTAGGTAACTGACATTTTTCTTCCTGATTAGACACCAAATTTTAAATGGGAAACGTTTCGTCATTTATGACTAGAAGAGTGAAAAACTTAGGAATTCCCATTTCTGGCAATTAGTTTTCTAACAACGTTTTGGAGCTCAAATATGGTAAAATATTTCTGCTTTAAGTATAGTTGGTATAAAATGAGTACTTTATAAACGCTTCGAAAGTAGTTTGAGTAAGTTTTAAATATTTATTTTTCAAAATATTTAGAAAATTTTGAAATCACAAATCCTGTATATGTGGAATAGTGGTTCTTAACCTTTTTTATCCCATCACTACTGCCAGATGATCATTCCTCATCCTCTTCTTTCGAAAATTTGAAAAATACATACTAAATTTAGATAATTTTAATGTGTTTTATAAATTAAACAATAAAAATGTATAGATAATGTTGTTAAATTTGAAAACTTGAATAAAGTAGATTTTATATTCATAAACTAAAAGTAAGTTCTTAACAGTTAAATAAAAGACTAACTGGATTCTCCGTTTGAAAATTTCCTCTTGGGGGAAGAATTTTTCCTCTGATTGAGAAAACTTGTAGAGACATTAGGTATATTTTGGGAAGCAGGAAAGATGAAAAATTAACACCGCTTCACCGGGAATCGAACCGCGAACCTCTGGAATATCGACCCAACGTGCAGAACCACTACACCACGAAACCACGCTAGGAAAGCTGACGCTAGGACGCTATGAAATACTTCATAAACCCCTGTTATAGATGATGCTGTTCATCGATTTATAAATATTGTGCTCCGTTTTGTTTTGCTTGGACTAAAAAAATCTGTTTGGGAATTTAATGCTAAAGAATTTCAATAACATAGGCATTTTAGAAAGAAAACAATTAAATATTCAGTAAAATAGAAGAACAGTTAATCTTTTGCCTTCAAAACGGGTTCCAGTTTCGTAATTCCTTCTAAACAGTTTTTTAAATTATTAAGAAATCATTTTTATGTTCAGAAAATATTTAATCTCAAAATTTTTAAATTCCTATGTTCTGAAAGTTCAAATATGTGGGAATCAGTGCTGGTGCCGGACTATTTAAAAGCTCTTTCTGGTGATTGATCCCAACATTAGTTAAATTTTAATATTTGTAAGAAAATTTAAGATGCATTCCTCTCTAGTCCCTTCGTATTCATTCCAAAGAAATTGTCAATAATTTTAATTTTTAGACCAATTTGTTTCTAGAATTTTTACTATCTCTCTACCTTGTGAAATACTTTTCCACTTAGTTCTCTGAAAACAAAAAAAAAAAAATCACATAAATGTCTTTAGTGACTTTTAGTGTTTTTTTTTTTTAAATCAGAAGTAGCTTAAATCCCAATCTATCATTAAATCATGTTCTTAGAATTCCGTAATACAGATACACCAAGACGCCAGAAAAAACTTTTTAACACATTATATCAAACCAGCTTTTCTTAAATACTAGTCCAAGTTCAGCAATTATATACAACTAAATATTCTAAGACAGGGACAGGATGCGACCTGCAGACCGCATCCTGTCCCCGAAGCAATTTTATATGTTTCACTTGCTTATATAACAGCGAATACATTTCCAGTAAATGAATTGGAATTATTATGACAAGAATTTGAAGAAAAAGTTTAGAGTTTTAATGATTTAGATTGAAATTTTACATTTTTTCATTGCCAAAAGCGAATGCGTATAATGTCCTAAGAATCGACAAATAAATCTAATTCATTTACACTGTGATATAACTATGGCAAAAATTTGAAGATATAAATTTGATTAACTTTTATTCGCATTTGTCAAAAGATAAATATTCTCACTTGCGAACTTGCGGAATAAGAATAATCGCTCTGCTTAAGGGTACATTTACATATGAACAGTTTTTCCCTCGGTAGTTGAAAATTAATTAGTCTAAGAAAAGAACCAGACTCCAAATGAATACTTACTATTTGTGAAGAAGGCACATTATTGTAGTCTTTCTCCAATGTTACAAAGGTAAAGCTAATGTTTGTGTTTTGTATCGCAAGGACCTAAAACGAAATATTTACTTGAACATGCGTGGCAACATTACTTTGTATTTTGTTGTAGTCAGAATAAAATGTTGTCGGTTCAGATAGTTTTGCGTTTTAATAACTGAATGCTAATTGACTTCTTTCTCTTCTAATAGTGTTTCAAGACGTTTCTGTATACAAATTTTATCAAAATCGAAACGCTGTGAGGTGTTGCAGGTAAAGCTGCAGTAAAAACTAAAGTTTATAATAATTTACATACAAATATATAATATTTCTGTATGTATCAGAGAAAAATGTAATAAATAAAAGAAACAGAATAGGCTATCATTATTTAATCTCTAGCATCGTCATCTTGGAAATCTTTCGTAGTTTCTTTATTTTTAGTTTAAGTGAGCTTTGAATAAAGCTTTGAATAAGTTTTGAATAAATGCCAGTTTGAAATTTTAATATTTAGCTGTCAGTACGTTTGGATTACAATGTGTAACCAACAAGAACTTGGTTCAGACAGAAATTCAGACAGAAAATAAGTAAAAATTTGAATTGTTATTCTTTGCGTCATTTTTATTACTGTTTATGCATAATTTGGCGAACGTAGGATAAAAAGAATTAAATTTAATTAAAAAATTGAGTTAAAATATTTTTTCATTATTTCTTTTAATTGTGTACTGGCAATTTTTAGATCGTGCAGTCTGCTCATGTGCAGTTTGTGTTTCAGATTACTGCTGTGTAGAATTAAATATCAGCGTTTTGAACCCATTTTCCAGTACAATTTCAGAAGCATCTAAAAACCTAGAAGAATTTGAACTTTATCCTGCATTATGGAATAATGTACAAATATTTCTCAAAGTCTGAGTAGCTTCTTCGTGTTATTTATCCGAACACGGGTTCAGTTCAGTAACAATCATAACAACTGGAAAAAAAAAAGAAAAAGGAAAAAAAAAGCAATTAGCTTAGTTGAGGTAATTTCAAAATGTGCTTAACAAAAATGGAGCAGGATATTGACAAACTGTTAGAAAGTTAAAATGTATTTTCTCCCTCCTTCCAGCATGCCTTCGTGGTGTAACGGTAGCACACTCAGCGTGTATTCGAAAGGTCCAGGCTCGAGTCCCGGCGGGGGCATTTCTCATTTTTCATGGCTCCTACTTCAGAAAAAGCTTAATGAGCTACAAGTCACCAAGCTCATCCTTCCCATGAAACTACATTTATTGCCGGCTTAATTAGAATACCTGTTCTTTCCGACTTGATTGTGTTATTGACTGTGCATTTACTGTTAATTTTATTAATGTACAAATAATCCAGCCTCGACATTACTATCATTTTCTTAATGATTTTGTAACAAACATTGATGCAAATTCAAAGGGAGCATTAGGCATTCAATATTTTCTAAAATCGATCGTGAATTAAAAATGCTTGAGAACACCTTTTCTGACACCTTTAAT